GCTTGTTGGTCATATGGGTCTCCACCCTAGTGAAGGCTCTTTTCTGTTCTTTTGCCCACTTCCTTAGGGGGTTAACTGTTTTCCTCTTTTTACAGGCCAAGAGGATGTTGTCGATTTTAGTAATGAGCCTTGTGTGATGTGTCATTCCTAAAAATCCTATCCAGTCAGTGGGCTGCCTTGTCCCTGCAAGAAGCCTTTCCCTGCGCACAGGTGTCTTTTTCCTATTAAATCCCTTGGGGTCCTTTATACCCCCGGGGTGGGATGCCAAACTTTGTTTTCAATGAGGAATGCCATTTCTCCTTAGATTCTGCCCATTTATTAAGGTACTATGAGCAGAGAGCATTTAATCTGATTATTTTAAATTCCTTCTGAAATGCCTTCGCTAGTTTAATATTATATTCTTGTTGTTTAAAATATTAAACATGAATTCTGAGGCTCACGTGAATTTTTATAAATAATCATATGCTCAATATCCTCAATGTCCAAGTTAATGTAACAGTCCTTTAGATTGCATTGTCAGGAAAATGTGGACCCTTTGTATGAAACTTCATGCAATTTTACGAATTATGAATACATGTGTTCTTTGCATTTTGATAGCCCCAAAGAACAGAGGTAAGTTGAGCAATTAAATGACTTACTAATCCCCAGAGCTTGATATCAAACTGACATGTGATCTTCAAGATTCAAGCTTAATGTTTTGGGTGAAGGTTTCCAGAACAGATCATTAGTTTTTCCATAATCCACACATGTTTTGTTTCATCTCATCGTTGCAATCCCTAAATATACCATCAGTTATTCCATTTTCTTTTCTTTCTTTTTAATGTGTAACTGCTGTGGTCAGAGCACTCATGATTTCCTAATTACCACGATGCTTGGAAGCCTAGGGTCTCCTTGGCATGTGCAATGGATGTACCCAGTTGTTTCTCTGGCTACAATGTGGTTTTGAATTAGTATTTATGAACCTATATCAGTAAATGTTTTGAGAATGAAGTAGTAATTAAGTGAAAAGAAAAAAAAAGTAAGATTTCTGCATATTACTAATAACACTGTAATTATTAATGTAACTCAAGGTAGACAGATTTTACAGCTTGTTCATATTCACATAATCTAAAAATATTACATTTAAACAATTTAGAATAGCGTTTGTCACAAGACGATGCTGTGGCTCAATGGATAGTGAACACTACTAAGGATTCTTTCTGTCGTGTCTGGTAGGGAGGGGGAAGAAGTGGGAGCACCGTGAGTTACTCCTACCACAGGGACACCACTGATGAAAAGGATCCTTTCATATAAACTCACTTCTATTCTTTTACAAACTTTCAGTAAAAGCAAGGAGCTGCTAGCTGGGCTGCTAACTGCAAGGTCAGCAGTTTGAAGCTATCATTCGCGCAAGGGGAGAACAATGAGACTTTGGGCTCCCTGCAAAGACTTACAGATTCTGAAATCCAAAGGGTCAGTTTTATTCTGTCCAATAGGAATGGGCATAATGGCATTTGAATTTGTGTATTTGTGTGCGGTTTTAGTAAAAACTGACACCTTGCTTCATGGAGAATACAATCCTTTATCTGCTAGACCGCTAGGTGTGTGTGTCTGTGTTTCATTCTATATTGTTTCCTTCCCTCCTTTAATGCTGGACAGGGGACTGGGTGATGGATTAAATTTCAGTTGGGCTGCTAACTGCAAGGTCAGCTGTTCAAAACTACCTGTGCTCGACAGAATGACAGGACTTTCTACTCCCACGAAGAGTCACAGTTTCAGAAACCCACAGGGAGCAGTTCTATGCTGGCCGACAGGGTCGCTGTGAGTTGAAATCCACTCTCAAACCAAACTCCCTACCATCGAATTAATGCTGACTCATAGCTACCCGCCCCCGTGGGTTTCCAAGAGTAACTGATGACGGGGATAGAAAGTTCAATCGGGGGGGCCCCCCCCTGGAGTTATTTATTTATATATTTATTTTAATGTTGGACAACTCAACTGTTGAATAGTTTTTTGTTTTGTCTCCAGGGTTGAACTGTAATCCACACTTTTTTAAATGCCCTTTTCAGAGGGCATTATGCCTTCTTAATCTCAGTTCTTGGAAATAAGCTTTACCAAACTTAGTACTTAATTTCAGCACGACCTTCACAGCCCTTCCTGTCAGCGCCAGCATGCTGGAGACATTCTCTGACAACATAGCCCTTGTCTTGCACACCCCATTTTGCTCCCCGAATAAGTAGGTGCTTTCTGAGAGCTCTTGAGTCACCCCAGTATTTTTCCTGTGGTGCAATTTTAAAATCACCATGAGCCAATTTCCTTCCTTCATCTTGTGGACGTCGGGTGCTTTGCAGGCCAACTGGATGTTCTATTTTAATCAGGATGACTTGTATGATGAGCGATGTCAAGGTCGTAATTGAGAAAACTAAACTGTCCAGCAGTTGGTGCTAACCAAGTAATGATAACAAACACGAGGTATTAGAACTTTTAAGAGTACCAGGAGCTGGGGCTGCTAACTGTAAGGCTCCTGGTTCCAAACCACCAGCCATTCTGTGGGAGAAAGATGAGGCTTTTTACTCCCATAAAGAGTTATCGTCAACCAGTAATCCCCCTACTGAACATATATCCAGAAGAGGCAAGAAACAAACCATGGCCAGACATCTGTGCTCCAATGTTCATCGTGGCACAGTTCACAATTGCAAGGAGTTGGAAACAACCCACATTTCCATCAACAGATGAATGGATTAAAAACCGTGGTACATACATACAATGGAGTACTACACATCTCTAAAAAAGGAGTGATGAACACATGAAACACATTGCCACATGGGAAGAACTGGAGGAAATTATGTAAGTGAAGTAAACCAAGCACAAAAGGACAAGTACAACATGAGTCTGCTGAGGTAAGCTTAAAAATGCAAAAGGGGCATAGGGAAAAAGCTACTGTATACATACATTCCTGGAGTGAGGTCCAGGTAGTATGGCAGAGGCCAGACCAAATCCAGGTATACATATGGTGGCCAACTAAAAAGGAAGGGAAAATAAAAAAGACTTGGGTAGCAGGGGATCGGGGCACTAACCCATCCAAGGGAAGGGTGTTGTTTATATCTCCACAGGGAAAGAGGGACCAGACTTGGACCCAGTGTGCAAGACGTGAATGCAACATACCGGCATGAAGCAGGGAACCAATAGAGAGGTCTGAGGGGCCGGCCCCAATCCCAATCAAGTGGACAACTCCCCCTCCCCGCAGAAGAATTCACTTCAGGGGATAGCACTGAAGCTACAGCTCAGGGAGAGGGACACCTCTGATCAGAAAACACAGGTGCAAACGAAGGGGGAAGGAGCAGAGCAATGAAGTCCCCGGGAAATACCAAACCTAGGCTGTAGGCCCAGGGTGTGGCACCCATCAGACTGGACCAATTGAGAAGGGTGTAGGAGGCCTGATAGGGTTTGATCAAGGGCAATGTAACTGAGAGGAATTACTGAAACTCAAACGAAGGCTAAACATGGTAGTGGGACAAGAGGAAAGTAAAAGGATTTGGGGAAAAGAACTAGGAGGCAAAGGGCATTTATAAAGGTCTAAATACAGGCATGTACATATGTAAATATATTTGTATATGACAATCGGGAAATAGATCTATGTTCGTGTATACTTATAGGTTTAGTATTAAAGAAGCAGATGGACATTGGACCTCTACTCAATACTCCCTAAAACATTTAGTCTTCTACCCCTCGCGCATTCCAGCAAACCAAAACCACATTCCCTGCCATCCAGTCAACGCTGACTCATGGACTATAGGACAATGTAAAACTGCCCCTGTGACTTTCCATGACTAGAACTCTTTATGGGAGTAAAGCCTCCTCTTTTCCCCACAGGATAGCCAGTGGTTTTGAACTGCTGACCTTGTGGTTAGCAACCCAGCACATAACTACTATGCAACCAGGACTCACAGTGAGTAATAAATCAGTCTCCAATTCAGCCCCTGGCTCCAGGGCACTCACGGACATCTTCCTGCCCCTTGAGATGCCGTCCTCCCAGGCCCCCCCTCCCCTGCCGCTCCCTCCGGTCCCGGTTGACACTGCGGAGCGCAGTCGGCAGGGGGCGGCGTAGGCGCGGGAAACGTGCAAGTGCCGCCCAAACGAGCTTGGGAAACCCGAGAATTCGCCAGAAAGACTTTTTTTTTTCTTTCTTTTTTTCCGCCACCGTGCAGTCGGGTGCGCTCCGCGTTTTGCCTGCTCCGGGTCTTCTCGGTCGGTGCCCGCGGCGGAGCCCAAGTCCCGGAACGCGGCGGCGCGGTGGTTTCCCCGGGGCTGGCGCCTGGCAGCAGCGCCCTCCCCCGGGGCCGGCCTGCCTCTGGGAGCCGGACGAGTGGGCGGCAGGAGGGCGTGGGTGGCCCAGAAGGCAAGCGGCGAGGCTGCGCTGGACCCCGCGGCCGCGACGATCGGAAGCGAACGAGGGCGGCGAGGAGGAGGAGGAGGAGGAAGAGGGGGAACTGGAGCCGGAGAGGGGGCTGCCGCCGAGGGAGGAGGCGGCTCCTTTGGGTGCCTCCCGGAGCCGGCTGCCCGTAAGGTGCTCGCCAGG